TAGCAGTCAAACATTATTATAGTCTTTCGTGTTTAGCCAACAATTTACAGTATGTGAGTATCGGATACTTATGTACTCAACGAGAGAGAGAGAGAGAGAGAGAGAGAGAGAGAGAGACTGGCATTTGAAGAGTTGATTACATGTTATGCAAACATATATCGTCTGAGAATCTTGTGGTGAGAATTTGAGTGACAGTTAACAACGGCTGAGGAGGAGTTCCCGTCTGACAGTAAACGCTCACCCATTCAACCATTCAATGGCCCATTCATACCCTAAATATTATATTTAAAGTATTAATATAATCATAACTAATACAAACGTCAAATACTTGTTGAACATCTATATCCCATTGCCATAACCAATATATAGCCGAGAATTAAAATAATAAAATACTATTATACTGTATATAAGATATTCTGTATTATAAAAAATATTCCGTGTTTTCAATCTATAATTGATTTATTGGAGGATTTTTCTCTCTCTAAGAGACCATTACTTGACAAATGAGTCCCGACTGCTCGGGTGGTATTCATCTGTCTGTTCGTTAATTTGGGTAAAAAATGAGCCAAACTTTTATCATACGATAGACACATACAGTATAACATAGTGTGAGACAAAATCTCTTTTAATTCTGTGGCCAATAGTGTGAGAAAAAAATGTTTGAAACGACGATTTGATTCTCGGATTCACTGAAAATAATTTAAAATAACAATTTTTGTGACCCTTTATGCCGAGTCTTCCGTTTAGCCTAAAGGCTATCATCAGACAAAAAAATGCACACATTTTTTGAGCCCCTTTTCTAATCCTTTTCTCTGTATAAAACTTATGGCATCTCTCTCTCTCTCTCTCTCTCTCTCTCTCTCGTCACTGTCTTTCTCTATCACTAATAAAGTATAAAAAGATTTGAGAGATTTTCTCTGTGTCTCTGGAAAAAAGTAAAAAATAAGTTATTTTAAGAGAAATAAATCTGTAATGAAGAGTAAAGTATTATATGGTATGAGAGAGAAGTCGGTGGGGATAGGGAGGAAAGGGTGGTAAAGATTGGGGCACTAATGCATTAAAATAAGATTTATAGCTTTCTCTCTCCCAAACTCTATATTTATTTTATTTCTTATTTTGGTTTTGTATTTACATTAAAAAAGTTGTGATAAAAATCTTTGTGTTTTTTCTTCATTATATCCATTCGATAGCGAAATAAAAACCATAAGAAAGGCAATGAAAGCACAAAATATTTTTTGTTTCAAATGCCATAATGTTATTCAAACATTACATTAGTATACAGTATATAATAATACCTCACAATAAGAGTTTACATTTCTATTGTATATCTATTGAACCCTAAAAGTATGAAAAGATTTTTTTTGTTTGATAATTAATTAATTAAATCACACAAAAAAATGTATTATAAACACGATTATTATGTGTTTGAAAAGTATTAATTAAATTATTCTTATGATGTTTTACTCGCAGTCTTATGGCTATATTTCATGCAATTTATTATTTAATAATTGTTTATAAGATTATTATTGAACACACAAAGGCTAGTGTGTTTGAAACGACTATTTCACACATATATTTGAATATAAAAATAAAATACAATTTCGTAATTTCGTTTGACTCATAAAAATTGTTCAAAAAAATATTAATGTCTTTTATATGAAGATAACAGCGAAAAGAGAGACACAGAATAATGTCTTCTTATCGTTATCTGCGGCTCTCTCTCTCTCTCTCTCTCTGGAAGTTTTTAAGCCAAAGAAAAATTAAATTCATTTCAAACGTTTGATTTTCTGGTTTTCAGCGAAGGTCAACAACGAGAGAGAGAGAGAGAGAGAGAGAGAGAGAGATGCAAACATTTATTGCCTCCAGTTATATATCCAGAGTTTGGATGTAATGCCAAAACCTATCGCAAAGAATAGGCACAAAAAATCGCTGCCTTTTATCTCAAGCACTAAAAACTGAGAGAAATTGAGGGGAACTTCAGATATTAGGGATAAAATGCGTTGAGAGAGAGAGAGAGAGATGTGGGAAAAACTTCTCTATATATATCTGTGCCGAGGATTTGCTAGAATATACCGGTAACACAAATTTGTGGCAAAAAATATTAAATATAATAAAATAAAAACTATAATATATTTTCTAAGCAAGAAAAGTGAGAAAATAATGCATTTATTACGAAGGGATCAGAAACACAAACTTAATAATATTAATATACAGTAGACTATAATATGAGGCAAGGAATTATGAAAATCGTAAACTATTTTCCAAAACCTCTAATTCTCACACAACCTCTCCCTATCACTCACTCTCTCACTCACACTCTCACCATATCTGCCCTTAAATACTCACTTCTCGTCGTCTATTTTCCAACTCTCATATAAATATATATTTGATATCAATATAAGTCAAGTGAAAGCCCAGAAAATTAAGTTAGGAGTAAAAGTGAAAATAATATACTTTTCGCTTCTCTCTCTCTCTCTCTCTCTCTCTCCCCACTCCTGTCTATTCATCACATCTATAGATGAAAATTGAGTCTCACTTTTCATTGTGTATATTATATTAGAAATATATTGATAATATATAATACATATAATAATAATGCATTTGGAGAGAGCAAAATTTTGCCAAAAAAATAATACAATTATTGGCGAAACCTTTTTGCCAGTACAATACGGTATATACATGTGGTGTGTATTTTAAGATAATAAATGCAAATTCAAACAAAAATGCAAATTTAATTTCGCATATTTCGCACCAGTAGTACAGTGTATGTGTGAAGTGTGTGCATACAGTGAACGGAATAGTGTTTTAAAATATATTCTGGGTTTGAATGTCAGGCAAACTTTTTTCTGTTCACTTCAGTCACAAGTGTTGTATGAATTTCACTGCAAAAACGCTTTGATTTCTAATCAAAATTATAGCCAAAAATCATAGTTTTTCAGAGAAAAATAGATAAATTTTGAGCCAAAGTTGGGGCAAACTTTCATAATTGGTCTCAAGTGTACGGATAGTCCATAAAACATTGGTTATACACCAAAAACCCTAATATAATATCATATATCAGATATAAAAACTGTGTATAACTTAACACACATTAAATGAGACACCGATTGAGACACACGAACGACAATATATACTCCGTGTGTATAATACAGTGTATTGAGAGGAATGGCGTATAAATATGAGGGGAGGCTTAATGTCGGGGCTCATCATAAAAAAGTACAATAAAATGGTAACTCATATAAAGAGAGTGCGAGAGAGACCAGAGAATCGGTAAATAATCCTCTAATGGACTCAGAAAAAGCTTTTTATATAACTTTATATACATTTCCAACGGAATTATAGTTTTGAAAATCCGGACCAATCATCACAATATAGATACACTTTTTTGTGTAATATAACGGGAAATAAGAAATAAGTTAAATAAATCCAGTGTTGACTATAAAATTGAATCCATTGTCAGATTTATATGCTATTGTTTTTTGTTCAAACGTGAAATATATGTGTCTCAAAAGTTTTGCTTATAAAATATATTTGTGCCTAAACCACGGTTTAAAAAGTTTAAAATGTTTATTATGTGTATAATATTTGAAATTGAATTTTGATGGAAATATTAGCAACTTATTAATATTTATAATCCGGGATTAAATCGCTAATAAATTTATTAAAGCACACACTAATAGATTTATATTTACAGAAAAACTAATGGCTTTGCAAATGAATTAATTAGCAACACTGGAATAATAATGCAATTATTGTAATAAGTATTTAAAGGAAAACTATTTAATAAATATTATAAGCATGCAAAAAACATTGTAGAAATAAAAGTGCAAAAATAAAAATGAGAATCACTTTTCAATACAAGCCATTGGCGTATAAACAACGAGTTTATATATATGGGAGTAAAATAATCTGGATTGTAATAAGACTTTTCTCATGGCAAGAGTGTTTAAAAACACAAAAAGTGTTTCATAAACTTTTCGTGATTGAAATAATCAGAGCACTTGTATGTGTGTGAGGGGAATGGTATGAGACATCGAGAAAGTACCGGATAAGATGATAGGGCACTCGTATGTGCGGCTCGGGTATGCGTTATATAATATATAATGGATTGAACACAATGTGAATTCTCAATGAGTGTCACATATTTAGTCTAAAAGTGGTGAGACGTGTGCTTTAAATACCAGTGTCTCTCACCATACTATGTCTATATGTATGTGAATCGTGCCGGCGATGTGTCTACGGGTATGGTGTATGGGAATGGTGTCTATGTGTATGTGATGTCTGCGCTGTCTGTTTCAACAAATTGCTTAATTGTCACCAAAATATTGCCCCAAAACGCCAGCTGAGAGGTAGTCACGAACCGCACAGACATCACACACACCAACCAAACTACTCAACTACAAGACACGTAACCATTAAAACTAAGTCATCGACAGTCAAACGGCAGACACACACTCACTCACACATTATCTCCCACTCCCTCTCATATAATAAGCGATAGTGAGAGTGACAACAAAGAGGACTAAATATATAATAATAGTCGCCGACTGACACACACCGACAGCAAACATATGTTATATAATGTTATATAAGAGCGAAATTAATAAATATTTAAGAAATAGATATATAATAGATATTAGAGAATAATTGCCACATAAAAAAAGGGAAAGTTATGGCACTTATGGCCAAGCACAAAAATATATACATTGTATGACAAATCTCTAATCTATTATTGTATAATGAAAGTTAAATAAAATATCAACAGATTTGTTAATACTTAACAAACAAATTATGCTATAACTTATCAAATAGTTTATACAATTGCGTAAAACTATAGGAAAGTTTTTTTTAAATATAAAATTGTGATTTAGTAAACAGCAAACAACATTTAGAAATCGAGATTCACATTATCGCTTAGCCATCACTTAATGGTTAATTAAGAAATATATGTATAAATTGGCACTAATTTCCAATTGTCATACATTTGAGGGCCCACTGACCTGGTTTGTACGGCAGCCGCCTGTGCCGCCGACTCGACACTTTGGTGGTGGTGGTGGTGATCCTTGACGCCTGTGGCACCAACTCTGCGGTGATGGTAGTGATGGTTATGGTGCCATGAGGCAGGCCAATCAGAAAGACAAATATAACTTTAATTCAGTGCTATAAACAATAAATTTACGGACAAATTCTGGTGTTGGGAATCAAATGCAGCGACAAAAACTAATGTATATAAAACAATCACCAAGTTAAATTAAATGCGATACGAAAACCAAAACAACAAGTGTTTTGTTTGGTTGAGTTATTTAGCACTAAATTCTTGCCAACATTTTTCGGTTCCCAATAGGAGTTTGTATGGGAGAGAGAAAAAAGATAACTGAATGAGAAATATCAGGGACTCTCTCGCACTCCCAGTGTATGCAATATCTGGTGCGTCAGAGAAACCAGTATATGGTTAGTAGTGAGCGGCACAGTATGTGGGGAATAGTATGTGTGTACACCAACCATGAGCTCGGGATGGTTTTGGTGTAGTAGACACAGTATGCTCTCTCTCTCTCTCTCTCTCTCTCTCTCTCTCTCTTATGTAGTAATTCTAGTTTATTAAGGGATGAAATCGAGGGGTAAGTAGAGTCTCGTGGCTTTTATATGGCATATATATGTTTGGTGAGAGAGAGAGAGAGAGAGAGAGAGAGAGAGAGCACAGGTATGCCATGTAACTTTTATATTGTATAACATTATTTCACTTAAGCAATAAAGAGAGTGAAATAAGATTTTTTTAAAACAAAATTTTAAGGTTATATCCATTGGTTTAGGTATATCATACATCATATACACCTGTATACTAAATACTATGATATAATTTATGGCTTTTAAAACGGGATTGAATTGTGTCTGAAATTTCTTATGAATTACTAAATTTGAATAATACCTGTCCAAAAAACTAGTCATACATTTATTGACGAATAATAAATTGATTTCTAAAATGATTTCATTTATTTTATTATAGCGGAGAGTTTAGGGGAAAAAGTTTTTTGCAATAAATCTCTGTTTTCAAAATTCTTTGGATTCTTAACAAACTTTTGGAAAAGATTTTTTCGGTAGTGTTTATCAGTTATTAATGTTTATTTATAATGTTTTTTTCTGAATATACTATTTCTCAACCCTTTTTATTGTAGGCAATAATTATGGACAAGAATTTTATACACGATTCCTAACATAAAATCTACAACAAAAAAGGTACTAGCAATAAAACTTCAAGAATCAATAAAATCACATACAATTTGTACACTTATTGTAGTCATTTTCAATTAAAATATAATGACAAACAAAACTCGTATTAGTTATGTTTGAATGAATTGTATACTAAATAAAGTGTCGGGTTTTTATACAACACTTTTTATGGGACTACACGTCAAACGTACAGTAGTTTTAATAGATATGTATTTAAGGGGTAATAAAAACAAAGTTTAAAACTACGCGACAACAGGAAAGGCATCGCGTGAATATTAGCCACCACTCCATGTATTGTCATATATTTGGATAGATTTTTAATTGAAAAAAAGTTAAACAACAAAATAATAAACATAAATATAAATTTTTTGTAAGAAAATTCCCATCAAATTAAAGCTACAAATTAAGCGGAGAGAGAGTGAGAGAGAGAGAGAGAGAGAGAGAGAGAGAGAGAGAACTGAGATGTACCTGAAACTACAATTAGCTACGAAAATATAAGCAAATCATATTCACAGCGACTTTTTAAAAACTTTAACAAAAAGCCTTTGAGAAACTCCTACTTGTATTTTAGCCACACTATATTAAAACGACAGCAAAAACTTTTTTTAGTGTTATTTAACTGAAAAATAGTTCTCAAGGTTTTGCAAAATGATAAAAGACGAGAGAATATATATATTTTGAAATTTACTAATTTTCTAGCTTTAAGGCAATTAGATGTTAAGTGGAGATAATGAATTTACTGGTATTAATAAATATAAAACTTTTTGATAGTTTTTGGTTAATACACACAGAAATCGTAGCGAAAACCTCACCATTTATCGAGCAAAACAAAAATCTTACTGTTTTTTGTGTGTTTGAAATAAAATGAACAAAAATATGATTTAATTATTTAATTATTTACGCGAATATTATGCATAAAGTGTTTGTTTTAAATGCACTCGAAATAAAAATTAAAACTTTCTACCATAATAATAATAATATTCAAAACATCTTACGATTACTGTCATAACATTAAAATATATGTCTCTCTATATAATAATCATTTTCATTACATTTTTTACAATAAATTTTAAATTCTTGAATGAGAGGCACCCGATAGGCATAGGGAAAGCCTGTGCAAGTGTCGTTCCCTCTGACTATTCAAACTACTGATAATATAATAGTAAATATACAATGTTATTAGTTATTAGGCGCACAGGTAGTATACGGGGAGAGGGATCTCTCTCGGTGTGCAATAATAGAAAGTATCATTTCTTTAAGGGTTGATTAGCATAAGAAACTAATTTCATAGCATTTTGTGTTTCTAGCATTGAATGCAATGCAAAATATTCAGTCAAATTATATAAAACTACAATACAAACGTATAATTATAGCACTATTGCCATGATAAATGTATTTAAACATTATGCGAGAGAATAAGAGAGAGTATGGGAGAGAATGGATGAGAGAGAGAGAGAGAGAGAGAAGCAGCAAAAGGGGAAAGAACTTTGTTTTTATTTCTTAATAGTTTTTTTGTTATAAGAATTGAGTGCATGATATGGTGAGCGCCGGTAGTGTAAAAAGTGGAGACACAGAATGAAATGGTAGATAAGAAAAGTATATCTTAACACTTATAACGAATAAAATTATGATAATCTCGACCGAAATTTATTTTAAAAACTAGAATAATGAGAGAGAGAGAGAGAGAGAGAGAGAGAGATCGTTCGCTACTAATGAAACAAATCATTAATTTCATGACACCGTAAGACCGGAAACATTTAATTTATGTGTTTATAAGTTATTATAACTTTCTTTTTCTCAAATCTTATATTTTAATGTTTGGAACAAAAAAAAGTTTCCAAAACTTGTAATTCATTACAAATTATACATTAGTTTTGTTCGTCGCTGTCACTAAACACCGACTAAATTCAAACTACATTTCCCTCTCAAATAACAACAAATAGTAGTCACATACCTGTAGTAGGGGTGATGGTAGGGGTTGTAGTGGTTGGGGTCCATCATAGCCGCGGCCGCAGCCGCTGACGGGTCGCCGACGGCACCGGCAGCCACTCCACTCTGACAGTACATACAGGGGCATAGCGGCGACAGGTGGTGGGGTGGGCCGATATGGTGGTGCGGCGAGTGGTGCTGAGACGGGTGGTGAGCGCCGGGCGAGTGGTGGGCAGACAAGTGAGCCGTTTATAGCACTATTGCCATGATAAATGTATTTAAACATTATGCGAGAGAATAAGAGAGAGTATGGGAGAGAATGGATGAGAGAGAGAGAGAGAGAGAGATCCTTCGCTACTAATGAAACAAATCATTAATTTCATGACACCGTAAGACCGGAAACATTTAATTTATGTGTTTATAAGTTATTATAACTTTCTTTTTCTCAAATCTTATATCTTTTTATGTTTGCAACAAAAAAAGTTTCCAAAACTTGTAATTCATTACAAATTATACATTAGTTTCGTTCGTCGCTGTCATTCACTAAACACCGACTAAATTCAAACTACATTTCCCTCTCAAACAACAACAAATAGTAGTCACATACCTGTAGTAGGGGTGATGGTAGGGGTTGTAGTGGTTGGGGTCCATCATAGCCGCGGCCGCAGCAGCTGACGGGTCGCCGACGGCACCGGCAGCCACAGGTGAGACTGTCATGTATGTCCCCGTATCGCCGCTGTCCACCACCCCACCCGGCTATACCACCACGCCGCTCACCACGACTCTGCCCACCACTCGCGGCCCGCTCACCACCCGTCTGTTCACTCGGCATCCTCCAGTGTTCGCCAGTTTTATAGACAGTTTTGGCGGCGATTCTTGCGATCAATAACTTTGTGCTCAACACTTGGTTTTTGAGGATTAAAAACGAAAAACAAAAGCTACAGTTCCGTAATAATTGGGTTATTCTGTGCCAAACAGTAGTTTATATGAATGGTGTGACTGGCTGTATGTGCTCTGTATGTATGTATGTGTGCGGTTTGGCTCACAGTATATATCAGTCGCTGAGACGTCTGGTCACGTCAAACACGTCCCGAAAATTTTATTTTATTATTATATTTAACGCCAAAAACACAGACAGAAAGTTGTATTTTTCACGATCACTACTACCAGCGCACACTCTCGTTAGGCGCACCGGTACGCGAGCGGTGGGGTCAGCCGATTATGACAGCACGTGCCGACACACACACCACACGCTCGCCATAAGAATAAGGAATCCGTTGCACACAGTTATTCTCGTTGAGCTACCAGTGCTGCCGGTGCTGCTGAGGCGCTCATTCCGTGTGCGTATAACATACCAGCGCCCAGACGTGAGTACGTGTGCGGTGTGAGCGGAATGACTGAATGGCACCGGGAGTCCGTGTGCTATACTGTGAATATCAGTCGATTCTGTGTCAGAATATGTGCGCCTATTATGAGGTGTATGTGCTCTCTATGTCTCTCCTCTTCCTCCCTGTGCTCTCTGTATAGCTATGTGAGAGTGACTGCCGGCGCTCTCAATGCCAATGCGTGTGTCAACTACTGGTGCTGGTGGTGGTGAACACAATACGTGCGAATTGCACAGACACTTCCCAATTGACGTGTATGTGTGGAGAATCGGTAGTGTTTTTTTTGAGGGGAACAGTAGTCAAACACTTATGTTAGGCGTACACTCGCGAGTAATACACGTGTTTTGACGGTTAAACTACTTGTGTTTTTATGATGACTTTTATTATGCTTACAATTCACGACCAGAGAAAACCTACTGGAACTGTATGTCTGGTGAGATGCCAGTGCCGTATGATATGGTTTGTGTGTCAAAACACTTTGATTGCTTGAATCGACTGTTGAGTAGATTTTTAAGGGCAGTGTTAGTCGTAATGCTAAGCGTTTTGGTGATTAGTCTTATAACCAGAATATTCTTCAAGCAGTTTATTATTGATTATTAAATTTTCACTCAAAAACAACTATAAGATATGGAAAAAATAGAAAAAACACATAAATAAGACTTGTAATGAAGACTTATAATAGCGAGTCATTAGCTATAAGTTTGATAATTGTTTTTAAAAATATTATAATTTATGTGCTATTATTCACTAATAAATTGATTTTTTGCAGCGAATTATAATTAACTTTTTGCGAGTTTTATTGTTATTTTCAACGACTTATGAGTTTAATTTACATTTAGCTTAAAACTTCTTAATGAGAGATTTATGACACAATCGGCTAATGACTATAAATATTGAGACAATTTTTGTTGTTATTATTTTTGTTGTTAAAGTCTTAGTTATGAAAAACAAAAGCGAAATGAATTGAAATGAAGTTTCACTTCGAGAGAAGATTTTTTCGGATATTTTAAACATAATTGTCGTTAAATTACTATTTTTTTGTTCTCTCTCTCTCTCTCTCTCTCTCGGGAAACCTATGGACTCATCACTATATGAGAAGACACAACAAAATTCATAGTTTGTTGAGTTTCATAATTAGTGGACTTTTTCTGACATTTGTATTTCTGGAGTCTTATCGATGGTAGAGTGAGAGAAAGTGGGGACAGGGAGGGCCAGTATTACTTTCAAATATACCAAACAAATTAATAAAGCAATATAAAACCAATGGTAGTAATGTTAACATACAGAATATTAATAAAATGCTAATATTGTTATTAAAAATTATGATCTGCTGTCTATTAACGTACAACTTATTTAAGGATGGGGAGCTGGTAGTCCCCTCAAACAATAACACACTTTCCACTTAATCTGGAGCTCCCATTCCCCTACATTTACAGTACATTTCAATCAGAATTCATACTTTAATTTCATTTCATCGCACGATAGTGTCATGTATTTTGTGACATTAATTTTGTACTCAAAAAACTTTTTTCGCTACACTTTTGACAGTTGTTTGAGAATATAATTAATTCATAATAAGTTTGTTTAAAAAATATTATACATATTTCGTATAATAATAGTCTTCGTTATAAAGAAATTAGTTTTTTTTCTGGAGATATAAATCAAAAAAGTTTTTTGTTTGTTTTTTAGTGAAATATTTGCTATAATTTTATACATTAAGAAACAAATTATGGAAACATTTATTTGTCGACAAAGAGAAAATATCGTTCAACTTTTGAAACAAAATTAAATTCAAAGTAAAATATAGTTTAAGACAACTTTTTCCATAATTAAAACCTAAGACACCATTAATTTAGTGTCATTTCCAACACACATTACACTTTGTTAGCTCTCTCTCTCTCTCTCTCTCTCCAAATATTTACACCAAAATATACTTATCTCTCTCGCAAAACTTCACTCAAAAACTGATTAGATTTTTAAATTTTTCCTAACGATTCAAACGATTAAACGACTTGTTTTCTGGAGTGAATTATAGACAAACATTATTATAATTACTGTGTATTTGCATTTCAATCAGTGCTGCTAAGTGTTACTAAAGCTATTGGATGAACACTTCCACTCAAATGCTATTCAGTACTTAATTTACTATTGAATTTGATTATAATTATTACAGAAAAAGTGAGTCATTTCTTGTTAGAGAGAGAGAGAGAGAGAGAGAGAGACCAAAAGAGTTAAAATTACTTTTAAAACCAAATTCTAAAACTTTGTTTAAAATGAAAATTGAGAATATTTTTTCGGTAATTTAATAGCAAAGGCTTGAATAGATTAAAAGTAGAAATAATAATTTATGTACACCTGATGTGTAATATACTGAGTATGAGAAAAATGATATATTTTACAGAATCTAATTTATAACACGATATAAATCTCCTCAAGAATATTCAACTATTAGATTAAGTAGTTTTCAATTAATTATTAGTTTTAAAACATCGAGAATAAACAGTTTTTTGGTAAATATTTGCACATAAATAGCAATTTACACATTAGTAAAGTCGAGAGAGAGAGAGAGAGAGAGAATGGAAACAATATATTGTATTTTGATGGCACGCAATGCAATGCATGATAGCATCCAATGATAAAAAGCATACAATACTGTAAGAGATGGATAACTCTCATAGAAATGTAAGAAATTATTGCCAAAAATAATTATATTTCACACACAAGAAGACTAAAAACAAATAAATTTTCAATTTTCAAAGTCTCTCTCTCTCTCTCTCTCTCTCTCTCTTTCTCTCTCTCTCTAGACTCACTTAAAAATTTATGGTTTATTTGAACACAAATTTTTATTAACGAATTTTAACAATCATACGAAACTAACAAATTATTATACTGACATTTTATGATTATTATACGCTATTAATCTATTTTTTTATTTGTTTGACGACTAATTATTTTTGCAAGAAAAAGTCAAATAATTTAAAAAACTTTTTTATTTATACTGGGAAATAAAAAATTGCTCCAGCAAAATTGATTTTTAAAATTATCTGCTCATCGCTCACTATTGGCTATAAATTCACATTTTAGACACTAATAGAGAAAAGTCATGCATTTTTTCTCTGGGATACCTGTTTTCACAATAAATCTTATTATAGGGAACAGTAGATATTATACACATTATATAATGATCTTAAAAATCGTTTGAAAACAAAGTTTACTTAAATTACGGACGAGTTGTTAAACAGAAAAAATTGTCACAACTCTGTACCTAAACATACATTCAATTTCCAGTCATCTACTATACAATTGTCTCTCAAAGTCTAGAATTACTATTAATTCGCTGTGTTTTTCGTCGATAAAAACTGAAAGTTAGAAAATAAACGTCTCTTAAAAATCGCAAATAATTGTATGTTTTGTTTGCCGAAAAAAAGTTAATGTAATTTTAAAGGCAATAAAAATCTCAGAAATCATTAATAGCCATTAACTAAAAGTATACGTAAATCTTATGCGCAAAGTATACATGTTTTATAAACATTGTATTGAATGCCATGTAATCAGTATGAAAGTGTATTTATATTTTGGGCATAAGTTTATGCATACATAACATAAGCTCGACGATGAGGAGCACTGGTATCTTGAAGGGACTGATAGGTAGTTAATGTTCAGAGAGCAGAGAGAGAGAGAGAGAGAGAGAGAGAGAGAGAGGCAGTGGAGAGGGCGGAAGAGAGAGCGCTTAGAGACATGTTATATAATACTATACTATACTATAATTACTTTTT